AATATATTGTTCAACTGGCAGAACATTAAAAACAGTTGATCCCGAATGTATGGTGGAGTTGCAAGGTTAATGGCTACATCTTGCTGGAGCTGCCATTGTTATATGGTGGAGCTGCCAGCATTATTCACATAAAAGTTTACAGATCTTACAGATGCCAGGAGAAGAAAGACTCTTAAGAACTTTTGTCAGACGAGATGGTCAGCACACCATGATAGCTACCAACACTTTTACCAGGCGTATGTATGGGTGGTAAGTACAATGTTACACACGGTGTATGCATAATCCTAGGAAATGAAAATATGTAAATCATTCACTCTTAGATTATTAAAGTCACTTTTTGTAATTGATTTTAATATTATCTTTATCTATTATGATTATTATCTTCCTTTCCTTTTGCCATAGCAACGTTATCCAAGCTAATTTACTCAACTTTATTTATGAAACCTTTTGAAAGAGTACTACATCAATTGAATATAACATGCTTTACAGGTAATGGCCTTGGAGAAAGTTACACATGGGTGACTTCAAGATGACCAGCTCTACAACCAGGATATTATAGGTGCAAATCAGGATGCAGAGTCAAAGACCAAAGTCACAGGACATTTAAATGCCATAACCAAATCATATGAGGCGAAAAAATTATCAAAGGTTTGCTTTGTAGCAGTTGACAGTCAAAATTGTATACTTTTTCAACCGATAAAACATGTGTATCTAGACTTAGGATCAGTCTTAACAATAAACCTTACTTTATGTTTTCTCTAGGTATCTGAAGTCACAATATCATTTGAGGTGACAACTTATCAAAGGTCTACTTTGGAGCAGTCAATAGTCAAAATTGTAAACTCTACCATTACCAAATCATTATCTTAAGGATAGAACAGCATCAGACTCTGATAGAAAACACTCCTGCTAATAAGCCCAAGGACTATTATGGAGAATAGTAGCAGTGCCATTCCTGGATCACATCATCCAAAGTCTCAGCTCCAAATTCTCAGGTAATTGATTTTGATAAGTTTAATAATTCCAACATACACAGTTTGAAAGGGATATTGCATAATATATCAGTTTGTTTGTTTATTTATTGTTCAACTCAGTATGTTTTTGACTGATGTGAGGCATTTATTGCTGTCTAACAATTGTTGCAACTTGAGTAGCCACAACTTTAGTTTGTCACCCTATGATTCAGCATTGGACAGATTATTGGCAGTACCTGCTACCATTGTGATGAAAAGGGATAACTCTTTCTTATAAAGCAACAAATAACTTTCCAGATCTGTCAGTGAAGGCTTCTAGGCTGCCCTATCTAGTGCCAGAAAACAGCCCTAACATTGATGAGCTAGCAGACATGTACAGGAATGAGCTGCCATCTGCAGATATTATTGGAACAGAGCTGAATCGGTGGAAATATATAAACAGTGTGGTACCAGAGAACAAGCGTGCATCAACAATGGCCGAAGCCACTAAAGTCTGTGACAAGACATTATTTC